CCACCAGGGGTCCCTTTTCAGAGAGTATAATCCAAATCGCCACCTTTGTGTAGGCTCTAGACTTGGTTTCCTAACCTTGCATACATGGCCTTTAAACCCAACCTTCAGATCACCAAAAACTGGTAACCAAACCCAGAGCAAACACCCATTTCAGGTCTCAATCAACTTTCTTATTTCTTTGAGGATTTCCCACATCTACTTTAGCCATGCGCTTTTAAATTATGGTGTTTAAAATATTTTATCCAACAAGTGTTATGTTTTTTAACAAGAGGATTTCTTTACATACCTAATCTGCTATATGCCTAGGAATTTCCATTCCTGATCAGCCCCATTGAAGGTAAATTTCCTACTACTACCACACCCCAAGCTACTTAAGCAAAAGAAATTATGATCTCTTAATTGCCAAATCCAGTCAACTCTTTCCAGTCCTCATGTTACTTGGCCTCTCTTTCAGCTGCATTTGGCACAGTTGGCCACAGCTTTTCCTTCCTTTCTTTCCTCCTCTGGCTCCTAATCACATACGTTTATGCTATTTCTGCTGTCACTGTTTCTTCTCAATTTCCTTAACTGACTCTACTTTTTCTGCCTCCCTTTTAAATCTTGGTGCTCCTCAGAGTTCTATCCTAGGAATTTTATTCTCATTCTATAATGCATATTGTACGTGGATTACCTTATCCATTCCCATGGCTTCTACTATCATATACATGCTGGTGACTTCCTAGTCTATATCTCAAATTATATTTGGAAAAATAGATTAGGTTAAGTGAGATGAGATAATAGCTGGGATCATAGGTGTGTGACATTGCACTTGTCAGATGCAATGATCCCAGCTATTAGGGAGGCTGAAGTGAGAGGATAGCTTGAGCTTGGGAGTTCAAGACCAGCTTGGGCAACATAGTAAGACCTGCCTTAAAAAAAAAAAAAGGAAAGAAAGAAAGAAAGAAAGAAAGAAAGAAAGAAAAGGTCGACCCAAAATCTCAGTAGATTAATATGGAAAAGTTTACTTTTTGCTCATATAGAATCTACTGAAGGTCCAAGTGACTCCCCAAAGAAACTGTCCTCCATATGCTGACTCAAGGATCCAGGGTTAGAACTCTCACCTTCACCTTCCCATCATAAAATCTCCATTGTTGTGGGAGAGGGTCAGAGGAGGTCTTGCATCAGCAATTAAATGTTTTGACTAAATGGGACATGCATCACTTCATTCACTGCCCATTGGCCAGAACTTGTCGCATGACAAGGGAGGTTCCACACAAGAAGGAGAGGAGAACTGGTTGTTGGTGAGAACTAGTACTGTCTACCACACAATTCTAGATCTCTTTTGTGAGCCCCAGATCTGTGCATCCAACTGCTCTCTCAACATCTTTACCTGAATGTTCCACTGGCACCCCCAATCCAATGTGTCCAAAATTAAACTCATTATTTTTTCTCAATCCTATAACCCCTTCTTTTATATTCTCAAAGTTAGTTGATGGATACAACGCAGGAAACGTAGTTATTACCACCTCCCCTCTCTCTCTTACTTTCTTCTCACACCTAATAAATGACTAGACTCATTACCTATCTACTCTACCTCTTCCCCATGGCCATTGCCTCTATGCAGATCATCCTAATTTCTCACTTGGAACTCTACAACACCAAAGGATTCTTCACCCACTGTTTGGCACCTCGCTGGTCCCCTCTACACTCTGTTGCCTTAACCCAAATGTGCTTGTGTTAGTCCTCTTCAGCAGTCGTTCCATTGCCTATAAGGGTAAAGTATGTTTAGGGCCTGCCATTACCTGGTTTTATCTATCCTCTCCAGCCTTTCCCCTTCCATCCCCCACCCTTATCCTATCCTCATTCCCCATAGCACCACCTATGCTGAGATACTTGCATTTCCCCAAAGCATGCTCTTGTTTACCCTGTCCCTCTACCTGGAATACACTTCCTTCCTCGGTCTGCCTAGAAAATTATTCATCTTTCAAGGTGCAACTCAAACATTATCTCCTCTATGAGGCTTTTCTTGACACCTATCCTCCCTCCTTATCGTGTAGCCTGACCCCTTTGTTCATTGCATCTCACTCTATCCTGTACAGATGTCTCACATCTACAATATTTCATTATGCTTATTTATGTGACTGGCCAGTCTGGAGCGTGCTTTTGTAGATGAATGAACATATCTCTCTCTCTACAAGAGACAGATCCCGCAAGTCAAGAACTATGTCTTACTCATTATTGAACCTCCAGAGCTTGGCAGGGTGTTTGGGTAGGTGCTAAGTAAATGTCTGATTAATTAGTTAATCCTCCCTCTAAGTCTTGAACTACCGCTGTTTCCTTCTCTGGCTCCTCTTCCTCCTTCTTGCCCTTTGGTGGTATCTTTGATCATTATCTGATCTTTTATCCCCCATTGTTTTTGCTGCCACTTTCCTAAATATCTCTCAAATCCATATATATCTCTTCATCTCTCTACTGCTACCATCCTAGTCCACGTTACTATTACCCTCCTCAACTGGATCACTGCAGTAATCTCTCAACCGGTCTATTTGTATCTATTCTGGCTAACTTCCAATCTGTTTGCTCCAGTTTTAGTGATTGTTCCATAATGCAAGCCTGATCGTGTCACCCTTGTTTAAATATGTTTAGTACAGATAAACCCACTTCTCTTAAAGACAAAAGTTGTGAGGGACTGGCCCCTTCCTGCCTATTTAACCTCATCCTCATCATGCTCCACCCCCTGCCGACACCCCAGTGCCACTTCACATACTTCCTCTTTCAGTTTTTGTCAAACTAGTCTTTTTTTTTTTTTTTTTTTTTTTCCCCCTTCAACTTCCTACCCTCCTTCTGGCACAGGGTTTTTAAATGTTCTATTCCCTCCAAACTTTCCCTTCCTCTTGGTCTAGTGGAACTCCAACTCACATTTCTGATTTCAGTTTAAATGTTGGGTCGTTTTATTTTTTGGCTCTAGGAAGGCTTCCCTGGTCCTCTTCCCCTCTGTTGTAGGCATCCATGGCACAGGGTCCTGATCCTTCACAGCACACTTAACAATCACAATTTGCCATTTCTTTGTGTGGTAAGGGCCTCCTTTACTAATGTGAAAGTTCCATGAAGGCAGGCCCTCATGCTCGTCATAATATCCTCAAAGCTTAGAATGGGACATAGCACATAGTAAATGTTCAATAAATGTTTTGGAGTAAGTGAATGAAGAAATGAATTATCTCAGCAACTGGGGTTCGAAAACTTGAAGTAATCATTGACTCATCCTACTGTTTTATTCCCCGTATCCAGGTCCCAAGTTATATGTCCTCCAATTTTATGATCCCTGTGGTTTCAGCCCACACCCTCACTACACAATACCCAGAATATCCCCATACCCTCTAGTTTGTCTCTACCCAAAATTTATCTTATATGATATGATACAATCTGTCATAAAGGTTATGTTTACCATGTTATATCTCAATCAAAAAGATTTAGTGTTTATTTTTAAAATATTTTAAATATATCTTGCTTGGATTTAAAGCTCCCCACCATCTGGCTAAAATCCATCTATGTCAACTATTTTTCATCTCCCACCCTCTCCAAATGCCCCTCCCTATTTATTTATTTATTTATTTATTTAAGCACCCTGTCACCCAGGCTGAAGTGCAACGGCATGATCGTGACTCACTGCAGCCTCAAACTCCTGGGTGCAAAGGATCCTCCTGCCTCAGCCTCCCAAAGTGCTGGATTACAGGCGTCAACCACCACACCCAGTCAAAATGTTCCACTCTTGAACTGTGCTAATATCCTAGAAATACATCACTTGAATTTCAGCAACCAACCCTGGGCCTAGGACACCTCTCCCACAGCCCTTTCTTCCTCCATCCATCCAAAGCCTATCTGTGCTCCAGGTTTACCTGCACACATCCTTGCCTGATTTTTCCAGCTCTGCCAGTTGTGAGTTACTCTTCTCTCTACCTGAAAACCTCTTCCTCAGACTCTGTGCCTGGCTAGCTCCTGCTCATCCTCAAGTTCTCTAAGTGGAAATGTCCACTCCTTAGAGAAGCCTTCCCCAGTCCTCCATCTTCTCTAAAGATGTCCTCCCAGTGTATTCTCTCTAGCTAGCACTCTGTTTCTTTCCCTCATGGCCCTAATACAATGTGTCATTGACTTATTATTTCCTTGTTTTTCATTTCTCTTCTCAATTAGGTGGTAGAGTCCATGAGGCAAGGAACTTTTCTGCCTTGCTCTCCCAAAAACCTATAATAACCTGGTCAGTTATTAAACCCATATAACCTGGTCAGGCACGGTGGCTCACATCTGTTATCCCAGCACTTTGGGAGACTGAGGCAGGCAGATCACCTGAGGTCAGGAGTTCAAGACCAGCCTGACCAACATGGTGAAACCCATCTCTACTAAAAATGCAAAATTAGCCGGGCATGGTGGCGCATGCCTGTAATCTTGGGAGGCTGAGGCAGGAGAATTGCTTGAGCCCAGGAGGTGGAGGTTGCAGTGAGCTGAGGTTGCACCACTGCACTCCAGCCTGGGCAACATGCATGAAATTCCATCTCAAAAAGAAAAAAAGAAAAAAAAAAAAAAAACCTATAACACCAGCCCACTGTATGGCCTATAGCATTTACTTAATTAGTATATTTATTAATATTATTTTACAGAAAAATTTATAAAGAAATGATTCGCCTTCCCTTTGAAGGGATCTCATACACTTAACACATTTGAAGTCTGCACAGCTAGTACTTAACTCTTAACACTGTTTGCTCTTCGTTTTTCGTTATCAGCCTCATCTCCCTGGTTAGAATAGATGAGATTATAAGGTTTTTGATGGCAATAATAATGTCATAGTGATGCGATCTCCACAGTAAATCTGGCACAGTGGTTAAAGTAAATACTTAGTAAATATTTAATTAGCAAGAAACCTGTCTTACCTCCTTACATTCTGGCATTCCTGTGTCAGACACAAAGAAAAGTTACAAAAGAAAGATGAAAAAATCATAATGTTGACCTCAAAGAGGAAGCCTACCCTTGAGTTTAGACAGGATCTTTGCGACATACAATGTGATGCTGGAAGTGGCAGGGGCAGTAATCTTTATTTCGTCATTTCTGAAACATAGGAGAGGTAACGGAAGCAAGCGAAATGCTCAATCTTAGACGATTGCGTCGTATGACCGGACTTTTTCTTGAAAGGTAAATGCATTTACCACATGCTCTTAATCTAGATTAAATAATCACTTACCAAAAGAAAGTGTCGTCTAATTGTTAGTGGCTTCTATCACTTGTTTTATTTGGTGCGGGAAGGGTTGTATTTGAATGGTTCTCTTTAGTTGATGGATTTTACAGCAGTCAGTCAGATTCTCCAATGCTGGATGAAACGTGAAAAAGTATATATAGCACCGCTTCTCTTTTAATTTATGCTTCTGCCAAATGTTTAGGTTGTGCTTAAAGGGAAATGTATTTCCTGCTTTTCTTGGCCTGGATTTGTGAGTAACTATTTCCCTGTGTGTGATGATTTTGTCCATTTATGTGAAAGTTCGGGTGGAGTGGCCTAACGTTTTCACAACGGCTATGGTAACATTTTTGTAAATTCAGAACTGCTGCAGTGAATTTCAGGATTTTACAGAAACCTATGATCCTATCTTCTTCCACCTCTCCAGTGGCAAAGCCTAGTGTAAGCTCATATTCTGTTTGGCACCAACGTACATTTCAATATTTTAAAAATATTATGTCAATATTTAAAGAATATTATGTCAATATATTATGATGGTCTGCAAAGAGCACCATTGATGTACAAGTTAGAAAAGGAGCAAAATGTGTCAGAATAATTACCACTGCCGATTCTGCTGAAGACTGTGGGCTTCCTATTCTCATGGCTCAGACTCCTCACCATATTTTCCCGTTGGCCCCTTTCTTATCTGACATTGCATGATCTAAAAATGTTTGGTGAATTGTAAGGTACTTGGTAATGTTGCTGTTGCTGCTACTGTAACAGGTATAGGGAGATGAGGTGTCCTCCCAGCCCTCCCACAGGTCCAAGGACTTGGAAGTTAACTTATGAGAACTGAACAATACAACAATAAATAATTGATGACATTTGTTTAAAGAAATGACCTTAAAATATAGAAGAAATAACAAAGCCAAAACATTTGCCAAGAAGTTGCCCAAAAAAGAAAGAAAAATTTGGCCCCCCAAAAAAAAAAAAAAAAATTAGGGAGGCATACAATGTTTTATGCACAAAAATATCTGCTTCATTGTAATTGATTCAAATAAAAATGGAAACAATTCTATCAAGTAGAGAATTTGTTAAGCAAGTTACAGTACATAGCTAGAGCAGAAAGACCCATCACCACTAAAAATGTTATAAAACGTGTTTAGTAACATAGAAGAATGTGTATGGCAAAAATGCTAAATATAAAAGGAAGATATAACCTCTTATAAAAAGAAATATCTCAACTAGCTTTTTAAAAAATGCATGGAAGTCTGACTAAAAGGAAAGACACTAAAAATATTAATGAGTAGTAGGAGTTTGGGTGATTTCACTTTTCTGCCTTTAGATGCTTTATACATTTTGATATAAAGCCTAAACAAGACTATTGGCAGACTTGAGAAGATAATATGTGAGCAGATTAGAAGTGTCTAATGAGGTCTAGAGTAAGGGTCTCCAAGAGCAAGTTTGTCAAAGTTTATGTAGCAATGCCAGGGAAGAGTAAGACTGATACATCAGACCCAGTTGGCAGTCAGTATAAAAATCATCCATTCATCTTCTCTCATACTTACTTCAGTTCAGTGCTTATCAAGCAAAATTATTATTTTCGTTGGCATTCTTATATATTCCCCTGATAGGCAAAATTCACTGATTGCACCAACATGTACCTTATGTTATTTCAGTTTATACATTAGTCTCCTGTGAGTTGGTTGGTGGGAATCAGTTCTGGAGAAATCAGTCAATTCTTGGTGCCCTGATAAGATCAGATTTCTGGACCTGCAAATCTGAAGGCTGGCTGCTGAGCTGCAGAAACAACACCAGAGTTGTTGACCTCTGATGAGTGGTCTGTGACCACTGATGGCACTAGAACACCCACAAATTGCCTCTCATTGTTACTACTCTTATATGACAATCACAGTCTCAGAGCTGGCCCTTCAGCTGGCTCTCCTCTCCAAGCTTTCTAAGAGATACCTTGTTTTATTTTCAGGGGATGACAACATGGGAGGAATTAGCTCCACATCTAAACCCTACACTGGTGAGTTTATGACAGGAATAATTACCTGCTTCACTTCTGAGTTAAAATAACTAGAAATTGTGCTGAAGGGCTGTAATGGAAAGGCACTAGCTAGTGCATTTCTGAAGCTGGAAGAATCCAATTTTACCAGGATACAGAATCTAATGCCAGGAGAGGTAAAAGGGGGAAATCACAGAGACCTGCCTGGCCCTCCAAATCTGAGTAGAGTGTCTCTGCTCAATATCAAACTAGGTGGGTCATTCTCCCCTATTTGTGGTGTAGGCATTGGGAAAACCACTGTGGCTGTTTTTGGCTATGCACTGGTAATAACTGCTCTGCAAAAAGAGCAAACAAAAAAGGACAGCAGTTTTAAGGTCAAATTCCCCAAGGACTTTGGCAAGCATTTGTTGTTTCTCCCTAGCTGGGAGATACTTTCCTTAGGTCAGAAGGAGCACATCTCTTCAGGGGTTCCTATTAAACTCTTTGAGGAGGGCAACACATGAGATTTTTTTTTTTAATCAAAGGGACACTAGGCTTGTATTTCATTTATGTAGCTGATTTTTAAGTTCCAGTTCTAATTTTCATTTAAAAGTACTTGGAATCTAAAAAACAACATTCTCACATTTTTGCAAGAGTTGCAGGTCCATCCTTAATTTCCACTGGCTGATTGGGTAGAATGGGGCACATGGGGACATTTAAGCTGGAAGGATATCATGAAAAGTGACAGATACACTAATACACTAATTCCTTTTATGTTTTCTTGTAGAAAAACAAGGCCCTTTCTCCACAGCAGCCCCAACAACTAGCCCTGCACCGTGTCTCTCTAACCACCACAAGTAAATGAGCATTCTCCCATCTGTTTCATCTTGTACCACATAGGATTTGATGTTATGTTGACATCCTTGGCTTAGGGACTTGGGCAGGGAGACTGGGGAGAAAGGACTAGAAACAGTAAAAGAAAAAAGTCCGTTTGTGATCTCAGGAGTATGGCTCTTAATTTGGCATCCCCTAAGCTTCAAGAGATCCATGGATCCCCTAAGCTTATAGGTAAAATTTGCTGGGTGGGGAATTATGAACATTGTGTGGGTTGAGGGAGGGGGAGAAGAAGAGGCCACAGCTTTCTCTGAGGCCTCAAATGGATGTGAAACTCAAAAGCAAAAGCTGAAAACCACTGGGTGAAAATTCATTAGTCAGTGTGAAAACAATTTCAGGAGTCCATCCATAGGCAGGAAAGGTTTCACTCTTTAGGAAAGACCTTCAAAAGCCCAACAGTTCATCCTCTGCCTTTCTCTGCCAAAACAGCAAAAACCATTTAATCCTTGCCTTTTTTGCTGGGGTTCTACTGACGCTGCTGCTGATAGCCTTTATCTTCCTCATCATAAAGAGCTACAGAAAATGTAAGTGGTCTCCAAGGGATAGGACAGCCCTTCTCTGTCTGCCATTGATACTAGAATTAGCTATGAGTGAGTAACGGGAGGAGGTAGGGGAGGGTGCAGTGTGATAAAACCTGCTTAGCCCACCCTGTCTGCAGACTGAAGACTCAAATCCCTTCATTTTTCTTCTGCCCTGCCCCCACCCACCTGCCAAAACCCCACCCTTCACCCAAGATCGGAGGGAGAGGTTTCCCATTTCCCCAGGCCCATTGCTGAGATGGGTCCCTCTTCTTTCTGGCACCATGGCAGGTCACTCCAAGCCCCGGGTCCCGGATCCTCACTCAGATCCTCCCGCCAAGGTAAGATGACCACACTGTTTTGGCGACACTGAAGGGCTACCATCATTGGAATTCCCCTCCATACTCTGAATTATCTACTAGAATGGTGAGATTGATTTCCAGACACTGGGCAAGTGATTCTTTGACCAAAGTGCTCAGGTTGCTTCTAAAGAACAACCTTTTTGCTCCAAACTGAACTCACTCCTTCCTCCTTTTTCTCCCTCTGCAGCTTTCATCCATCCCAGGAGAATCACTTACCTATGCCAGCATGACTTTCAAACTCTCAGAAGATAAGAGCAATCACTTGGCTGAGAACCGTTCTGCAGACTTTGACCCCATTGTCTATGCTCAAATTAAAGTGACAAACTAACCTGGCTTTTCCAACGAGGCTTGAATCCATTTCCTCTCATCTCGGCCCCATCTTCACACATCACTTTCCCTTTTTTACAAATTTTGGATCACCACCTGTGTGAAACTGCAGTCAGAGTTGTTTAGGTGTGATCTGGCAATGCTATCCAGAAGCTTTGGAGACCAATGGTCAGTCTTTTCCTGGCCAGAGCAAAGATTGAAGGCCCTCCCACTTGAACTGACAGCCTGTGAGCCCCTTGGGGGCATAGACTGCCTTCCTTGGACCCTTCCAAAGTGTGTGGTACGGAGGTCAGTGCACAGAATATTCACCCAGCATCATGAATCAACTTGGGAGGAGTCAACCAAATGAACAGTCTACCAAGAATTTCAAATAAAGTCAAACCCCCCACAGTGCTGCCTCTGTCTTTATTATTTATTTGTCTGTTCCTGCCACCTTCTCCAGAGGTCAAGACTAAAAGTGCAGAGCTCATTCACAGCCAAAAACACCACCAAAAGTGATGGCACTTGGAAACAAGCTCAGATTTGACTGGGGTGCAGGTACCAAACTATGCCACCAACTAGTGGCATTCATTTAGGCAAACTTGTTAAACTTTTCAAGGCTCAAGTCTTTCATCTTGAAAACAGAGATAACACTTACCACTAATGTTTAGTATGAGGATTAAATGAAATATCTTATACATAAGCATTCTATACATCCCAGAGCTCTGCACAAACACAAGGTCCCTACTGTATAAAGCACTATGCAAATAGAGATTTCTACCTCCATCCTATAGCATAAGAGATATGCATAACAATATTATATGAGAACCAAAGATAGAGATTAATCTGAACATTAATTCCCCCAAAAACCCAATGAATAATCACATATAAAAATCCCATTAAAAATATCATCAGGTGAATCCCAAAGGTGAACAACAACAAAATATCAATAAGATTATTTTTCAATGGGCAGGCTTACTCTGAATTTCCTACGTAAACCATAAACAAGACAGCAAATCCAGAAAAATGTATAAAAATAAATAATAAAAGTTATATGGGAAGGCTAGCCCTTGCAGCTAACTAAAAGTACCTGTTTTATTAAGCATCACTAATTAAAGCAATATGTTAATGGTACATGAATAAATAAATCAATTGAATAGAATTTAAAGACCAGAAATACATCAAAATACATAAGGAAATTTAGAGTATGATGAAGATGGCATATGAAATCATTTGGGAGAAATTGGTTTATTCTATAAGTGGTATTAAGATAACTAGACAACCATGTAAATGAAAATAAAGTAGGATCCATATTTCACTTCTCATATGAAAATAAATCCCAGACATGTGAAAAAATTTAACTGTAAAAAAATCATAAAAGCACTAGAAGAAAATATGGGAGAATTTTAAAAAATATTTTTGTAGAGCATGCCCTTTGAATGTATGTCACAAAGCCCAGAAACCAGAAAAGATTAACTTGACTTCTAAAGTACAATTAAAAAGTCCAAAGTACCATTAAAATGTGAAAAGGCAAATGACAAGCTTAGAAAACACTTTCAAAGCACCTTATAGATCTTATAGACATAGAAAGATCATTTGTTAATCAACAGGGGAAAAAAATGAACAACTCAATAGAAACGACAAGGGATGGGGTGGGCAATTTGTAGGAGAGAATATATAAATGGCTTAAATATATGAAAAGATACTTGACTTCCCTCATAATAAGGTAAATAATGATTACAACTACAATTAGATAATTTTTTTTCCATCAGTAAGACTGGCAAAATTCAAAAAGTTTGCTAATAGACTGGGCAAGACTCAGGGGAACCAAGACACACATACACTACTGGTGGGAAAGCACATTGGTACAGCTACCACAGAAGATCATTTGGCAAAAGCCAACAACATTCTTAATTCTTTTCTAAGAATTTATAAATAATCCTATTTCTAAGGATTTATCCTACTCAAATACATGGAAAATTGCCTACATAACTTGAATTGCAACAGTAATCAAATTGGCTAGAACTCACTGAGGCTTATTACACTTTTAGTACAAATCTAAGTGAGTGGCATGTATTCATGGAATCCTCACAGAACACTGTGAGGTTATAATTATTACAAATTGTAGATACAGAAATGGAGGCACAGAGAGGTTAAGTAACTTGCCCAAGTTCACATTGCTGCTAAGTAGTGGCTCTGGAACTCAACCCTGGGTAGGCTGGCTCCAGAGTTTGCACGTTTATCCATCATGCTCGATTCTCTGAAACAGCAAAAGATTGAGAAAATCTTCACTGTACACGGAGAGGGGACTGGTTCATTCAGTGCAATGTAGCCATTAAAAAGAATGAGGCAGCTCTGTATGTTCTAATAAAAACAGATACCTATGGTATACTGCAAACTGTTGAACAGAATTATGAATATGCTCTACTCACGTGTAGTACAGTATATGTGTATCTATATATTTAGTATATCTCTGGAAGAAAACACAATGGACGGTCTTGGTGATGGCCTCTGGGGAGAAGAAATTGCTACCTGTGGGACTGAGGATCTCTAAATATATAGATATAAACAAAAGGACTCAGCAGACAGAAACCAAAGTATCGTCTTTATTATGAACATGGTCAACATTGGAGAATAGAGCTTATACTACAGCTGCAAAGGAGTTCAGAACACTGAACCCCACAACTGAGTTATAAGCTGCACCAGAGCAAGCCCACCCCTCCCAACAAGCAATGCAGTTGTTCAGCCTGCCCCTAAGGAGCTGCAGAAGAGATCACATGCTCTTTCAAAGCTGTACCCAAAAGAGTAAAAGAGGAAGAGGAAGAGAGAAAGTATGTATGCCCAGTTCCTATTCCCAGTCTCCCATGTCAGACAGCCCCCTCTACCTCCCATAGGTGGTCACTGAGGAGTGTGACCTCAGTCTACACCAAAGGAAGCAGGAGTGGGAGAGAAGCACCCACCACAGAACTTTCAAAAATACATTAAATAATATTTTGGGGTCCAGGTGTGGTGGCTCTTGCCTGTAATTCTAGCCCTTTGGGAGGCCAAGGCAGAAAGATTGCTTGAGCCCCAAAATTTGAGACTAGTCTGGGCAATATAGGGAGACCCCATCTTTACAAAAAATAGAATAATCAGCCAGGCATGGTGGTGCACGCCTGTGGGCCCAGCTGCTTGGGGTGGTGAGGTGGGAGGGTTACTTGAGCCCAGGAGGTTGAGGCTGCAGTGAGCCACCGTACTCCAGCCCAGGTGGCAGAATGAGACTCTGTCTTAATAATAATAATAATAATAATAATAATAATAATAATAATTGCAAAATCAAGTTAAGAAAATTGAAGTCCAAGGAGATGAAATAATTTATTCAATGACACCTGGCTAAAAATAAATGGCAGAACAAAAATTTAAATCAAGTCCTCTGGCTTCAAATTCTTTGCATCTGGCCTCCACACCAAGCTGCCCCACAGCACTTGCGGTGGCAAGGAGACGAGAAAGGCAAAGAGTCAAGTGATGTGATCCAGAGAGCATGTTCTTTCTGAGAGAGAGCAGCTGCTGCTGGAAGCTGGATTTTGAGGGAGAAGCCAGTGGAAGAGAGTTTAATTTAAAAAAGAAGTAGTCTGTCTGTGGGAGTGAACAGGTCTAGAAGAAAGACGGGTTTAAGGGAGATAGTTCAGTGAGGCGGCCACAGCACCACCAGGGCAGCCAGCCCCACGAGGGCAGCAGAGACCCAGGAACGGCCTTCTCCCGTTCGCTGAAGTGCACACAGGGAGGCCTCTTGAGCTTTCAACCGTTCCCAAACTCGGGGCTGACATCAAACAATCCTGCCATCCCTGAAGCTAGAGGCCATATCAGCTTTCCAGTTCAGGGCCAGCACCTTTTAAACATAACGGCAAAAGTAGAGTAAGCACTATCACATGGCATCTACTTGTATAAGAAATATCAAATTAATTGCCCTTTCCTGTTTTCCTGAAGCTGCCCATTTTTTTTTAAACGGTATAGCCCTAAACAGAGTCTTGTTTTTTTGTCTTCACACTATGCAGCCAGCCTTGATGGAGGATAAAATGAGTAATTAAATGATTGACCCCAGATTCAAAGATCTTTGCTAGGTAAGAGCAGGCTCTTGAATCCTGGATCATGGAATCAGAACAAATCTATAGGAAAATAGTTTTCCAGACATCGTGAGTGTGAATCTTCCGAGACATCTATAGATGTCTTCATCTGCTGTGGAAGATCTATGTCTGCTATCTTGCCTTGTAGAATGGAATGTCCTAAACAAACCCAAACTGGATTGCTATTTGCAGAACTGATGGGTTAATGACCCCGTTTGTTTAAAATCAATACAGGGCCATAGGGGAAGAATTGGGGCTGTTTTGTGGCTAAGGGAAAAGAGAGCACTTTTGATGTTGTTTGATCTGAGCCTCTGGCAGGAACGTGGGTTGTTCAGAAACACAGAGGTGGGGTATCCACACCCTCATCTCTTCCCATCAGGACGTTGAGTAGCTGTGAATTCCCTACCTTTGGGGAGAGGAGTTAGGGTGGAAGCTGAAGGAAGTGTGTTCATGAAAGATTTTGTGGGAGTCTGGATCTAAACACGCAGGGCACGTGCAGAATCATATCAACAAACAACCTCTCTGTTCCAACTCTGCTCAGACCAGAAGGCCACTTGAGTACCCTGAGGACTGAGGCTGGCCAGCATGCCCATTAGAAGAGATCACGGCACGGTGAAAAGCAGGCTTGTGATGACGGCAGCACAGACAGTGATGGGGAGGCCCTGGAAACTCCCAGAAATAGCAGGAGAGGCCCTATATGGGGAGAGAGGGTGTGGATATGCGGGTGGGAGCTAAGAGTGTTGGTGATTCTGGCATGAATGGCAATATAACCTCATTCGCACCCATGGCTGCTGATGTCTTGTTCTTGATTTGTTTTTCCCGATTTGAATGACTATTTCACTTAAGCTCTCACACCTTGGTTTCTCATTGATCAAAAGCAGCATCCCTTTAGTCAGGTGGCAGTTTCCCATAAAGGATGAGAAGAATGGCCTTTTCACCAAGAGAATCTGAGAACCACTGATTTAGTCTATCTCCCTTTCTTTGGGTTGGGCAGCATTTGATACCAATTCAGAAATGAGTTAGAATATTATTCTTTGAAAGAAACGTTTCCAGAAATACTTTTACAGTGATACCCTAGAAGAAGTAACTCATACCTTGCAGTTCATTCAACACTGGCTAGGAATTTATTGGCTAAAAAAATACAAGTGATTTCCTGGCCCCCGATCCAGATTCTCCACCTCTTCTTCATCTCTGACTGATGGAATGCATGAGAACTAAGATCTTGAGATGTTATTTGAGTGCAGCCTTGCTCGGGTTTGGTCCATCATAGCTCCTCTGACTACCGCCGTTGTTACCTGGCTGCAAATG